TAAGCTTTTGAGCATGATCACTAACTTGAATAGAGTATTGGTTTGTCATCCCAAAAAATTCCTCAACTATCACTTTAAATGTGTATAGAAGAATAAAGTAAATTATATATACGACATAACAAAAAAAAGCTCTTCTAATTTTAGATCATTTCTAGCACACAACTATTAAGAAGACAAACACAAACACATAATTTGTACCATATCTCTTGTTACAGGATATTAGCCTATCACATTATTACAGCTGCACTTATATATGTCTTAGTCTATATATAGACACCTAGGTTGTAAGGCAGGGACAATGAATAATAATACTTTCTTCTATTCTTTATTGTACGCCTTCTACTCTCTTTTCCTTTCTCTGCATTTCCACATGGTATCAGACACGGCAAGATCTTGAGTTCCTCCCTCCCATGGCGTCCACCTCCGCCTCCTCTCAATCCATCACCTCCTCTACTGCACCACTCGACACCACCGGAATCTCGGCTTCACTCAAGTTTGTAGTATCCAACCTTCGCACTATGGTCCCAATGCAACTCACCACAAACAACTACACGATATGGAGGAGCCAAATCGTTAAGCTTCTTCGTGCTAACGGTTTCGACAACTTTCTTGTACCTTCATCTTCTTCGCAAGAACCTTCGTCGAATGCCAGCAACCAATCCTCCGATTGGTCTCATACAGATCAGAACCTCTCGGCCACAATCTGCTTCACAATTTCGCCAACCATTCTTCCCTACGTCTTGCATTTTGACTCCATAGCTGCCATGTGGATGGCTCTCGAACTCGATTTCAATCTTTGAACCGTTCAAAAGTCATTTAGCTCAAGAATGAGCTACACAATGTCTTGATGAAAAACCAATCTATGATCCAATATCTCACTACAATCAAGAATCACGTCGATCAGATTGTCGCGGCTGGTTCTACTATTGATCCTGAGGATATCATAATGTACATCTTGAATGGCTTACCTCCTCCCTATCAAGCCTTCAAAACTACGATTCACACTATGCAAACCTCCCTCAGTCTTGATAACTTCTACTCTCTTACCATCAATAAAGAGATTCATGTTCACAATGAACTTTCAAGAACCATTCCCGTTACTGATTCACAAACCGCCCTATACACTGTCTGAGGGCGTTCCAAAAGAACCAGAGGGAGATCTTCACAAAACACCCAATACACCAGTCGAGACCCTCAGAAGCCAATTCCCATTTGTCAGATCTGCAACAAGAAAGGGCATCTTGTGGTTTCCTGCTGGCATCGTCTCAACATCAATTACTCTCCGTCGTCGCAAACCTCCAACACAACGAAAGCTCTGGCAGCCACTACCGATCATCTGCCTAATGAGTGGTACCTTGACTCTAGAGCTTCAGAACATATAACCATCAACTCCGAAAATCTCTCCTATATATCAAGGTTCTGATTCTATCATCATTGGTGATGGAAGGAACATCCCAATTGCTCACTCGGGCACCGACATCCTTCCTACTCCGACTCGTAATATCAAGCTGTCCAAACTGCTTCACATTCTGAATATCTCTTATAATCTTTTATCTATTTCTAATCTTGTGAAAGATAACAATATATCGATCACATTCAATCATGACGGTTTTCTTTTCAAGGACCTGACGACGGATCGCATTATTCTTCTACTTTGTAAAAACGGGCTCTATCCTATCAAGCCTTCTTGCCCGTCTCTAGCTGTGTTCCAGACTACTCGTACCACCTTCGATGTCTGGCACAACAGGCTCGGCCACCCAAATCAACGCATCCTGTAGCTAATAGCCAGGGCCAATCCTCAACTTCATATATATGTATCTACTTCTGATTGTGTTTCTTGTAAAACTTATAAATGACACAAATTACCGTTTGACAACTCTTGTAATAAAAAGCTCTCTCCTCTTCAACTTTTACATTCTGACGTCTGGGGGCCCTAACCCATGACCTCTACTCAAGGTTTTCGGTATTACGTAACCTTTATCGACGACTGTTCTCGCTACACATGGATATTCCCACTCAAAAACAAATCTGATGTCCCAAACATATTCATTAATTTTAAAAAGCTTATTGAAAATCAATCTAACTATAAAATTAAAACTCTCCGGACCAATGGTGGAACTGAATACCTCAACAATACTCTCACTCAGTTTCTTCAATCAAACGACATCCAACATCAACTATCTTGCCCCTACACCCTTGAGCAGAACGGGATGGCAGAACGCAAGCACAGGCGCGTTCTTGAAACCACAAGAACTCTTCTCCATAAAGCCTCGATTCCGCATCAGTTCTTGCCGGACGCTGCCCTCACCGCCATATATCTGATAAATCGTCTACCTTCGAGCACGACTGGCTCTGTCTCCCCATTTCAAATCTTTTATAATAAAGCTCATTCATATTCTCACTTTAAAACCTTTGGATGCAAAAGTTACCCACTTACTCCTAATCAGCTTCGGCATAAGCTTCAAACAAAATCAAATTCGTGCGTCTTCCTTGGATATTCTGAACAGTACAAAGGTTACAAATGTCTCAACCGTTCCTCTCACTCTATCTCGATTTCCGTCATATAACTTTCTCTGAACATTCTTTCCCTTTCCAAAACACCACAGACCAGCAAATCATCCACAATCTTGTTACCACTCCCATCTCTTCTTTTACCAACCTCTTACGTTCAGCCTAATTGTAATCCGCCTAATCAGGATCATCAAATACATCTTAACTCCTCTCAACAAACTCATCCTGCCACACCCACTCAACCTCTCTCCATCCCTTCATCTGTCTCTCCCACTATATCTGATACTCCATCCATCCAACCAAACCAACGCATCATACCCCCACACCCCATGATCACTTGGCTAAAGACTGGCTCCCTCAAACCATGCACTAGGCTGAATTTACTTCATCAATTATCTTCTGCAAGCACAGCCGAACCAACTTTATCAAGAAGCCATGAAATCTTTTGAATGGCGTCAAGCCATGGCGACCGAATTTCTAGCTCTACACAAACAGGGGACCTGGACTCTTGTCCCTCCACCTCCGTCCGCCTCTATCTTAGGTTGCAAATGGACCTTTCGTACAAAACGAAATACGGACGGTTCAATCGCTAAATTCAAAGCTCGTTTGGTGGCTCAAGGTAATCACCAAGAACATGACATCGATTACCAGAAAACTTTCAGCCTTGTAGCAAAACTGCCAATGGTCCGTATCCTCATAACGATTGCTCTCTTTCACAACTGGGAAATTCAACAATTTGATGTTGAAAATGCCATCCTACACGGACAACTGTCGGAGATAATTTACATGCGACAACCAAAAGGTTTTGAAAATGCATCTAATTCGGACCATGTCTGCTTACTTCACATGGCTTTATATGGTCTTAAACAAGCACCATGACAGTGGTACAATACGTTCACAAACCACCTTATCTCTCTCGGATTCCAACACAGTCAAGTTGATTCCTCCTTGCTAACATACAAGAAAAATTTAGTTCAAATTTATCTATTAGTATATGTTGATGATTTTTTGATAACAGGTAACTGCAAAAAGGCTGTTTCGGAACTCATAAAACAGCTAAATGCTCGATTCCATCTGAAGCAACTCGGCCTAGCAAATCAGTTTCTCGGCATCTGCATCAAGTATACCTCAAACACTCATTTCTTATCACAAAAATCTTATGCAGCCTCCATACTACAGCAAGCAGGTCTCACGGACTGTAATCCTCTGGCCAACCCGATGACAACTAAGCTTCCGTCTAACATCACTTCTGATCCCACACTTTCTGATCCGATCACGTACAGGCGTATAACAGGATCACTTCAGTACCTTACATTAATGCGCCTAGATATTGCATTTGCTGTTAATATGATTTCACAACATATGCACAATCCGTTACCTAATCATATCTATCTATTAAAATGGATTCTGGTACATTAAAGGAACTCTGGACTTCAGACTTCCTGTCACAAAAACTGATCTACAACTCAGAACGTTCTCCGATGCCGACTGGGCCGGCGATCCCTCATCCCGAAAATCAACCACCAGCTACTGTACATTTCTCGGTCAAACTCTCATCTCCTGGGCTGCCAAGAAACATACTACAGTGGCAGGATCGTCCACCAAATCTGAGTACAGGGCACTAGCTGCTGCCAAATCTGAGTACAAGGCACTAGCTGCTGCCACGGCTGATATAATTTGGATCAAACATCTTCTAACCGATTTCAATTTAGATCTTCCCCCCTCATCCGATCTTTTTTGCGACAATACTTCCACCATCGCCCTCGCAAATAATCCCATCTTCCACGCCAGGACGAAACACAATGAAATAGATCACCGGCTTATACGTGATCATATACAAAACAATCACATCAGACCACTTACTATCAGCTCTGTCGACCAGATCGCTGATATCTTTACCAAGAACTTGACAACACCAAGGTTCCATTATCTTCGGCTCAAACTAACGATAACCAAAGATCCATCAGTTTGAGGAGGCATATTAAGAAGACAAACACAAACACATAATTTGTACCATATCTCTTGTTACAGGATATTAGCCTATCACATTATTACAACTATACTTATATATGTCTTAGTCTATATATAGACACCTAGGTTGTAAGGAAGGGACAATGAATAATAATACTTGCTTCGATTCTTTACTGTACGCCTTCTGCTCTCTTTTCCTTTCTCTGCGTTTCCACAACAACGAATACCAAAAAGATACAGCACGCTGTAAAGCTTAGATGTTAATTCAATAATTTAGCCAACACATGAGAAACATATGCTATGATCATCCAAAAAATAAAATTCAATGAGACACTTGTATTTGTTATTATTCTTTCATGAAAAAGGACCTAAGTTAATTTAATAAGTTTTACTATTCTCAAATAAGCAGGTAAAGTAATTGAAATCCAGCATTTTATTATCTTAATAAGAGAGAAATGTCTGATTTTGTATTATTCATTCATGTTCTTGGATAATGAAAGGTTCTGTGTTCTACAGACCTGCTAAAGCAATAATAATTTGAAGTATTCCACCAAGCCCAAGATGGCATCTGTCCATAATAAGAGATTTAACACTGCATTGTGGATCAGAAAGCATGCATTCCAACGCATAGCAACCCTGTGATACATTTTAACCTCAAAATAAGTATCTGATTAAATTTAGATGTAATATAGGAAATAAAACCAGCCTTTGAAAAGAGAAAGAGAAAACCTCATCACCAATGGAATTTCCTCCAAGATTCAGCTCTACAATATCATTAATCTGAACAATATGTCCACAAATTTTGTCAATAAAATCAGAGGTAATGCAACAGACAGACAGATCCTGTTGAACTCCATTCAACAGAGCTCCAATTCCTGCAAGACAGAGGTAGTGGACATCCGATTATAAGCACAGCTCAAATTATGAAATGTTTGCTTGCTTATCACCTCCCAGCAAGCTAACAATGGCTTCGGCAATGTTAAGCTTGTCACGCAAATCCTGAAATCTAGGTATAGAAAGAGCTTTAGTAAATAGATCAGCTAATTGATCAGTGGTATAAACATGTGAAATGCGAAGCACATTTTTCTGAATTCATTCCTGAACGAAATGGAAATCTATTTCAATATGTTTCGTTCTAGCATGGAAAATATGATTTTTAGCAATGGCTATGGATGATGTATTATCACACATCAGGACTGTCGGCTTGGATGAAAGAATTTGAAATTCCTGTAATAACCTGAGAAGCCAGATAATATCTGTAGCAGCCGTAGCAAGAGCACGATATTCTGCTTCGGTAGACGAACGGGCGACAGTCTTTTGTTTCTTGACTTGCCAAGAAATGATGTTGCTACCGAGAAAAGCACAAAAACTAGTAGTTGATTTTCGGTCAAGAGGGTCACCGGCCCAATCAGAATCTGAATAAGCATGGAAGTCAAGACTTGTTGCAGTAATCGGTAAACCAAATTTAATAGTGCCTTTGATATAACGTAGAAGACGTTTAAGCAATTTGATATCAGTATCATCAGGACTGTGCATATGTTGACATAACTTATTCACAATAAAGGAAATATCCGGACGCGTAAGCATCAAGTATTGTAGAGATCCTACCAAATGTCGGAAAAAGTCTGCTGTAGCGAGATTCAGAGGAATAGCAGTCTTTGTTGGATCAGCAATAACCTTAGACGGAATTGGAGAAGAAATCAGCTTACACTCAGCCATGCCAGCTCGGTGAAGAATAGAGGCTGCATAGTTAGCTTGAGATAAGTGTAAACCATTTGCTGAATAAGAAACCTGCATGCCGAGAAAGTAAGAAATTCTGCCCAGATTCTTCATGCGAAACTTATGGGAAAGACCATTGAGCAGATGATTAATAACAGTTGTATCATTACTAGTAAGCAAGATATCATCAACATATACCAGAATATAGAGAACAGCTGATTGTTTGTTGTAAATTAATAACGAAGGATCAGCAGTACTATGTTTGAAGCCATAAGTAAGCAGGTAAGTTGAAAAGGTCTCAAACCACTGTCGAGGAGATTGTTTCAAGCCATAAATAGACTTCTTGAGAAGACAGACATAATCAGGATGTAAGGAATCCTTAAAACCAGAAGGTTGAGACATATACACAGTATCTTTAAGATGCCCATGAAGGAACGCATTTGAAACATCAAGCTGAAGAATATCCCACTTAAAAGTGGTAGCAACCGAAAGTAAAATTCGAATGGTAGGAAGCTTGGCAACAGGACTAAAAGTTTGAAGATAGACCAAACCATATTGCTGACTGCATCCTTGGGAAACTAGTCGAGCCTTATATCGTGCAATCGTTCCATCAGTTTTCAATTTTGTTTTATAGATCCATTTAGAACCTAAAACATTCTGAGTGGGATGTGGTGGAACTAATATCCACGTTGCTTGCTGTTGAAGTGCATCAAATTCATCTGACACAGCCTTTCTCCAAACCGAATGTTTTACTGCCTCAGTATAAGAAGTTGGATCAGTTCGAATAGAGATTGCATTCATACTGATAATATGTTTAGGTTTAGTCGTCCCAATCCGAAGTCGAGTGATCATTGGGTGGAGAGATGGATTTTGAGGTGATGGTGGACGAGTTACTAAAACAGGGGCTGAATTAGTTGATTCAGAATTTAGTTGTGGCACAGGAACTGTAGTAGATGAAGTTGGAATCGATGGATTTGATACATGTAGAGTAGTAGAACATCCATGTGAAGAATTTATAGAGGAAATAGATTTGCCTGTTGAAACTGTAGGAGTAGAAGATTGTATAATGTAAGGAATAAACATGGAGGGTGGACTATATGAAAATGATACAGTAGATGGAACTATAAGAGAATTGTTGTTTGAGGAGAAAGGAAATATAGTTTCAAAGAATTTCACATGTCGAGATGTGAATATTTTTCCTGTTACAAGATGAAAGCAGTGATAACCTTTTGTGGGAAAAGCATACCCGAGAAAGATACACTGTAATGATTTAGAATGAAATTTGTTTTTAATGAGATGAGGAAGAAGAGGATAACACAAACAACCGAATGTCTTAAGAAATGAATAGTCAGGTGGTTGATCGTAAATTAATTGAAAAGGTGAGGAGGATTTTTTTGAAAGAGAAGGTAAGCAATTTATGAGATAAATTGCAGTCTGTACAGCATGAACCCAAAAATGAGAGGGTAGATTAGCATCATGAAGAATGGCACGAGTCGTTTCAAGAATATGACGATGCTTGCGCTCGGCAACACTGTTTTGTTCTGGTGTATAGGGACAGGTGACTTGATGTAAAATGCCATTTTGAATAAGAAAATTATGAAAATGATGTGATGAGTATTCTCCACCTCCATCAAAGCGTAAACATTTGATTTTTTTTTAAATGTCGTTCAACAAATGCTTTGAACTGATAAAAAACAGACGGTACATCAGATTTAGCTTTTAGAGGATATAGCCAAGAAAAACGACTGAAATCATCCACAAATAATACATAATATTTGAAACCATTTAAAGATATAGTGGACGAAGGTCCCCAAACATCACTATGTATTAAATCTAAAACAGCAGTTGATCTAGAAATAGAAGGAGACAAAGATAACTTGTGACTTTTTGAAAGTTCACAAGAATTACAGTGGAAAATTTTAAAACTAGAAACTAAAGGCAGGTTTGTTGATTTGCATAATTTTTGAAGAACTGGAGTCGACGGGTGGCCCAAACGTCGATGCCAAAGCTGAATTGTAGACGAGGTTGAAGTAAAAGCTGAGTGTGCAGTGGATCTTGGGGAATCAGTATGGATGGGATAGAGGCCTCAACGAGATGGACCGTGAAGGAGAATGTGGTTGGTCTTCAGATCCTTTATTTTGTAGCCAGTGGCATCAAACACAATGGAGCAAGAATTGTCAGTTGTGAGACGATTAACAGAGAGAAGATTTTGAGTTAGATTAGGAACAATATGAAGGGAGGAAAGATGAAGCTTACGGTGAGGGGTTGGAAGTAAACCTTTACCAGTATGAGTAATTGACAGAAGATCTCCATTACCGATCATGACTTGTTGATGTCCAGCATAAGGTTTGGGATTGTAGACTTGAGCAGGATCTGATGTCAAGTGAGAAGTTGCTCCTGTATCCAACAGCCAGTCAGATGACTGCTGTGAGCTATCAGCGGAATACGCAGGTATAGGCGGTGGAAGAGAGAAATCTGCACGATACCAACACTTGAAAGCAGAATGACCACTTTCCCCACAAATTTGACATTCTACAAAAGGCTGTGAGGAAGAAGCACCACGGCCAGATGAGCTGCGGACTCTATAGGGCCGGGAAGAAGAGCGTCCACGATAATTTCGGCCATGTGCTCGACCTCGCTGAGTCGTAAAAGCTTGAACCGGCTTAGAAGAAGGGGTTGTAATGGATATGTCACGGACAGCCTCAGCTGCCAAATTCAGCTCTTCACTACATAGAAGTGAGTAGAAGTCATCCAAACTAATTGGATTCAAATTAATCCTTATGGCTATTTTAAAAGCTTGATAAGCACTTGGTAATCCATTCAGCGTGTACAGTATTATATCCTCCGACGGAAGAGGAGAACTGGATGAACCAATAGCATCAATCTTGCTCTTGATTTCTGATAGATATTGCATCATAGATTTATCCTTCATAGAGATGTGATGAAGTTCATTTTTAAGTTGGAGAATGCGAGAGCGGTTTGTTGATTGTAAACGTCGCTCAATCGTCTGCCAAATCTCCAAGCATGAGTCAAGATTGAGAACGTAGGGAAGAAAAGTTGTAGAAATTGTGGAATATAAAACGGCAGCTAGATTCTGATCAACAAGCAACCAAGTGTAATATTCGGGGTTGGGAACAATTTTTGGATCAGTAGACAGAAATTTCGTGGGTTTTGGTGTAGAACCATCCAAATACCCGTCAAAACCGTTAGCAGTGAAGAGTTTCAGAATTTGAGATTTCCAAAGTGGATAGCTATCGGCAGTAAGTTGAATGTTAAGAACAGATTTGACATTTGTCATTAAAAACTTAAGCTGTGAAGGAATGGCAACATCGGCCATTTTTACAACCGCCAATGTTTGAGAAGAGGTTGAGGATTGAGAAGGAGTCTCCATTAGTAGAATAAAACAAGAAACAGAGTACCAGGAAAAATCAAAACCGGAGGGCACAACAGCTCTGATACCATGTTGAACTCCATTCAACAGAGCTCCAATTCCTGCAATGGAAAAACTAATACATGAATGAGGAAATGGTGAAGAACAGAGTGCAAGCCAAGACTCCTTTTCATATTACTGTTCATCATCTTCTTGCATAGCATCACACCGTATATATCCTATTACTCATGAGTACAATGAATGGTATAGCAGTTAAAAAGGAACGGTGATTAAGAGCTTGTCAGAGTAATAATGGAGGTTCTGCAAGACAGAGGTAGTGGACATCCGATTATAAGCACAGCTCAAATTATGAAATGTCTGCTTGCTTATGAGATCCAACTTCTCCAACTCTTGTGGTCCACAACTTAATGCCTCAGTTAACCTCATTGCCCCGTCCTACATTAACTGAAAAAAGATATTTATGTACTTTGATGGCAGAAGTTCCTGAATATGAAGGGCTTGATAAATGAAATTCACCCACAGCTCCCATACAGGTTCCTCCAAGAAACAATGCAAAAAAACTGGATGACTTGGCAAGATGGAAAAGCCCGTCTACCACAGGCTTGTTTAAACTTATACCAGTAAGACTTAGTTCTGAGAAATTGCGAACCAAATAAGTATTTAAAGAGTCCCACTTAGTATTAAATGAAAACATGCACCATTATCTACAAAGGTCTTTTAGATATATACCATTTCAAAGATAAAAGTTTGGACAGCAGATTAACCATCGTATTTGCAGATATAGGATTATTCTTTCCTGCAAGACTCGTAGATTGAGGGATAATAATTAGATGAAATGATTTGAAAACAAAAAATACATATATTTCTCAAGAGCAAAATTTAAGGTGCACCTATCAAAAGATGAGAAAGCACCGATCCACCATGCAAGCAGTCTGCGAGCTTCTGAATTGTTCTAGACGTTAAAGAGCATTGTTCTATTTTTAAGTTGTAGAGTGCTACAAAATAATACATGAAACTAATATAAGAAGATATTTTACTGGAAAGAGTTTTAAGTCAAATGGTTTGCTACAAATCTGATCAAAATTTTAAAAAAGCATTCACAATAATATGATTTATTCAGAGATATAATTTTATTTGGTCTAAATATATTGGTATTCATCTATTAAATACCAGAACTATCAAAAGTAATCACCATCGGTAAAGATAAAATTGTCAACCACGTTGTAAAAAATTGTCATATGAAACCAAACAAACTTGACATATTATTACGTTGAATGCAAGTCAACTTGCACATAATTGAATATTTCAGATCATTTAGCAAGTAAGATTTTATGATGAATGTGAAGAATCACAACACAGTAATATAATGCAGTCTAAATAATGATGTATGATATCAATTCCCTAATCCAGATGACAATATCTTGACTTTCTTCAATTTCTTAGTTTTATCATGCAATAAACATTTGAGAAAGAAAGTTCATCTATTGAAAGTTTACTAGCCAATTATAAGAATCAACATACCTTGCAACTAAAGAAGCGAACGCCACGAGAGAAGAGAGAACCGGATGAAGGAAGAAGACGAAATTGATTTTCTTGATTAATGACAGTGTACAGTAAAGACCTATAAATAGATTCTAGGAAGTATAGATACACGTGTAACAGCCTGATTGGTGGATTCCTAATAAAGCGTTTAATACATGTTTAATTATGCTAATATCCCCCCTCAAACGAACGGATCTGAGCTGATGGTGAGTTTGTCCCGGAGCTTTTTGAAGCGCGGTGTAGACAGAGGCTTGGTAAAGATATCAACTACCTGATCTTCAGTTTTGATCGGAACGAGCCTTAGATGATGGTTGATGATGTGTTCTCGGACAAATATGTGGTCGATCTCGATGTGTTTGGTTCGAGCGTGATAGACGGGATTGGTGGCTAAGGCGATGGCTGAAGTGTTGTCGCAGTGTAGAGCCACCGGATCTTCATGAGTAATACAAAAATCAGAGAGCAGTCACTTGAGCCATATAGTGTCGTCAACGGCGGAGGCAAGAGCTCTGTATTCTGATTCCGTTGAGGACCGGGATACCGTCGTTTGTTTCTTTACTGTCCAGGAAACCAGCGTTGATCCAAGAAAGGTACATAACCCGAAGTTGATTTTCGAGTTATTGGATCGCTTGCCCAGTCGGCATCGGAGAAGGAGGTGAGTTGTAGGTCCGATTTCAGAATCGGAAGACCAAAGTTCGTTGTTCCTTGAAGATACTGAATTAGTCTTTTGAGGAGAAAAACGTGATCCGACTGCGGAGCATGCATATGTTGTGATAGTGTGTTGACGGCGTATGCGATATCTGGTCGAGTAATAGTTAGATATTGCAGAGCGCCGGTGATCTGGCGATATGTTCTGGGATCGGCCAAGTTAGCGGAATCCTTTACGGTGTTGGCCGAAAGCTTGGTGCAGGATGGATTAGCTGCAAGGTTGCAGTTAGTTAGATTTGCTTGTTGGATAATGGAAAGTGCATACGATTCTTGTGATAGAAAGTACTTATCTTGCGTGTGTTGAATTCGGATGCCGAGAAAGTGATTTGCTGTTCCGAGATGTTTTAGTGCAAATGTTTGATTGAGTTGGTGAAGAAACTGTGAAATAGCGTCATCGTCGGAACCGGTGAGAAGAATATCGTCCACGTAGATGAGTAAGAACATTTTTGTCGACCTTGATTGAAGATAAGGAGGGAGGGATCTGCTTTGCTCGGGTAGAAGCCGAATCGAAGCAGGTGATTGCATAATGTAGTATATCATTGCCTTGGAGCCTGTTTAAGACCATACAATGCTTTCCGTAGAAGGCATACATGATCAGGTTGTGTTGTATCTTCAAATCCTTTGGGCTGCCTCATGTATACGGTTTCTTGGATGTCGCCGTGAAGAAAAGCGTTCTCGACGTCTAATTGGTGTATTTTCCAGTCGTTATGAAGAGCGATAGTGAAGAGTACTCGAATTGTAGGTAGTTTGGCTACCGTGCTGAAGGTCTCAACGTAGTCGAGTCCAAATTCTTGTTGGTTGCCCTGTGCTACCAGCCGTGCCTTATACCAAGCGACGGTTCCGTCAGAATGGAATTTTCTGCGATATGTCCATTTACATCCCAGGATTTGTTTGTTCGGAGGCGCAGGAACCAGTTGCCATGTATCTTGCTTTTGGAGTGCTACGAAATCGACAGCCATGGCATTGCGCCACTCATGTGTTTTATTGGCTTCGGAGTAGCTGGTAGGATCCTGCTGAGAAAATTGGTTGTGAAGAAGGTTTAAGCGGATGACTGGCTTCAGAGATCCTGTTTTGGCACGAGTTAGCATAGGATGCCGAGCTGCGGATTTGCTAGAGTTTAATTGGGAGTTGTCCGTCTGGGAGTTGGCTATCGGAGAGCAGGTAGGAGAGTTGAATGGCAGTGGTAGATTGCCCGTGAGAGAGTTTGAAGAATCATTCGACATGGTTGGTTGATTTGTAGAGACCTGCTGCAGAGTTGAGGACGGTATTAGAAATGAGGGAGGCAAAATAGTGGGAGGAGGGGAATTAGTTGAACGAGAGTTAGAGAAAGGAAAAGAATTTTCTATAAATTGGACGTGACAAGAGATGATGATCCTGTTAGTTGCTTTATTTAAGCACTTGTAGCCTTTATAGTTATTGGCGTAGCGAAGGAAAACGCAGGATACAGAGTTGGGTTGCAGCTTGTGCGAGAGTGCTTTGGTAGAAGGGGGAAACACTCGCATCCAAAGGTACGAAGGTTGTTGTAGTCGGGTTCACTGTTGAACATGAGCAGTATTGGAGGGGTGTTGTTGGTCGTGGGTGTCGGCATCCGATTGATGAGGTGAGCAGCCGTCAGGATCACATCTGGCCAATATTGAGGAGGCATATACGCAGTGTGTAGCAAGGTTCTGGCCATGTCGACTAGGTGTCGGTGTTTTCGTTCGGCAACGCCGTTCTGTTCGGGCGTATAGGGGCAGGAGAGTTGATGATGAATTCCTTTGGACTGAAGGAAGTTCTGGAACTGGTGATTGACGAATTCGGAGCCGCCGTCGGTGCGCACCACCTGAACTTGGTGAGAAGTTTGTTTTTCAATGAATTTATAAAATTAGTGAATATGATCGGAACGTCAGTTTTAGCATAAAACGGAAAAACCCAAATGTATCGAGAATAATCATCAACAATGAGCAAATAATAGCGGGATCCTTGTATTGAAGAAACCGGGGAAGGTCCCCATATGTCCGAATGTAGCATAGAAAGAGGAGTTCTTTTTCGGGTTACAGAGTGAGGAAAGCTCAACTTGTGGCTTTTACAAATTTTACAAGAAGTGCAGCTATTATTTGTATTCTTTATGTGCAAGGTCGGATAGTCCTGAGAGATTTGATCAAGTAGCGTTGATGGGGATGACCCAAGTGTTCGTGCCAATTTGGAGAACGATGCTGACTGGTAGCGAGAGCCAGTTGATTTTCCGCAGGATTCTTGATCGAAATGGGATAGAGGCCGGCCTTGCAGGGACCGCGAAGGAGAATTCTGTTAGTCTGCAAATCTTTCATCAAGAAACCATGAGGTTCAAATGTAATAGAGATGTTATTTTCACATACAAGTTTGGAAATCGAAATTAGATTGTGAGAAATAGCGGGTATGTGAAGTAGATTAGATAATAGCAGCTTACGCTCAGGGGTAGGAAGAAGTCCCGTGCCAGAGTGCGCGATGGGAACTGATCTTCCATCCCCAACCATGACACTGTCGGTGTCGTGATAGGCTGACGGTTGAGCAAGGTTTTCATTACCGTTCGTCATGTGAGTCGAGGCGCCGGAGTCGAGATACCACTCTGAGGAAGACGAGTCAGCTGTGGCGATCAGAGCTTGGCTATTTGTTGTCGACTAAGGGGAGGGAGTGACATAGTTTGGATTATGTCGGTGTCAGCAAACGTCTGCGGAGTGACCGCGTTTGGTACAGATTTGACAGACCAGAGCTGATTTTGAGCCTATTTGACGGAAGACGTGGGTGGTTGCTGGGAGCGTCCACGACCACGTCGTCCACGTCTGCGGTTGGTGTATAAAGCGGTGTGATTGTCAGCTACCGTAGAGAACCGCTGGGAGTCTTGACGAAGGTGTATTTCTTCACTAGTGAGCATGGCATAAAGACTGTCTAAAGACAGTGGGGATTGCAGAGTCCGAATTGCAGTTTTGAAAGGTTGGTAGGGAGGTGGGAGACCATTGAGTATGTGAAGAATGATATCTTCGTTGTCCAGTTGACAGCTGGCGGAGATGATCATATCAATGGTTTTCTTGATTTTCATAAGGTAATCTTGCATTGAAATGTTGCGCGTTGAGATGTTTTGGAGCTCATTTTTGAGCTGCATCACCTTAGAACGATTTGCTAATTGAAATCGTGTTTGAAGCGCGCTCCAGATTTCGTAGCTGGATTCAAGATGCATAACGTAGGGGATGACAGAGGCAGAGATGGTTGAGGAGATTGCGGCGGCGAGATTTCTGTCGGTGAGAAACCATTTGGAAGCATCAGAATCTGGATCCGATTGGGCTTGATCAGCGGAGAACAAGGGAGGAGAATCAAGAAACGATTCAAAGCCGTTGGCCTTGAAAAGTTTGAAGATCTGATTTCTCCAGATTGGGTAGTTATCCATGGAAAGTTGGTGGGGAACAAGAGATTTTAGATTGGATATGATGAATTTGAGAGAGGGACAGAGAAGAGGCTTATCGGAAGTGTCGCCGATGGCCGCCGTTGTGCGAGAGGAAGCTGCGGCAGAGGCAGAGGAAGCCATGAAAGGTCTCAAGGATGGACCGCTTCTGATACCATAAAGAAGCGAACGCCACGAGAGAAGAGAGAACCGGATGAAGGAAGAAGATGAAATTGATTTTCTTGATTAATGACAGTGTACAGTAAAGACCTATAAATAGATTCTAGGAAGTATAGATACACGTGTAACAGCCTGATTGGTGGATTCCTAATAAAGCGTTTAATACATGTTTAATTATGCTAATAGCAACCACCGGATTTCATAATAGATTGGACATTTCAATATTAATCCAAAATTGTTAAAACAAACAACAGCTTGAAAAAAATATATTTTTTGAAACCTTGACAATTTTCAAGGATGGTAGAAAGGTATGAATTGCAAGCATCCGTGAGACGATTCTGAGATAGATTAAGCACTTCAAGACGTTTGAACATGACTGGGCATTCACATATCTGTTCATAAAGACAAATACTTCTCAAGAAAAGGAAAAACAATTTTGAGTTCAAGTAATATAAATTTTAACCTTAGTTGCAGATTTCTTGTGAAAAAGGTATGAAATAACAACAACAACAACATCATCATCAAGCCTTTATCCCACTACGTGGGGTCGGCTACATGAATCTTTTTTCTCCATTGTGTCCTATTAAAGGTCAAATTCTCGTTTAAATCTAATAAATAAAGGTCATTCCTAATATTTTCTAACCAAGTCTTTTTAGGTCTGCCTCTATCTTTCTTAACATAAGTCAAATCTAATACCTCTACTCTCCTAACCGGGTCATTGGAAGGCCGCCGTTTTATGTGACCAAACCATCTAAGGCGACTCTCACTAATCTTATCTTCTACTGGAGCTAGTCCAACCTTTTTACGTATATGCTCATTTCATATTCTATCTCTAAGGGTAAAGCCACTCATCGAGCATCCTCGTCTCTACCACACTTAACTTAGTATTATGCTTCTCTTTTAATGGCCAACATAAAAAGGTATGAAATAAAATAAAATAAAAATTTGACAGCTTATTTGACTTTTTAAAGTTTTAATTTATGAAAACAGCATATATATCGGCATCAGAACATGCCTACATGAATCCAACTGTTGAAGCTGGTAACATAAAAACCTCGAATAAAGCAGTTGGACCAAACCGATTGCAATGCAAATCCAGAGTTAGACCACCATATTTTTGGTTTGAAGAGGTAAAAATCTGTTGGATTTTTTCCATTGTCTCGTTTCCTGTAAGGCAACAAAATAGTGAAAAGTCGCAGCGCAACTTCATAATAAAGATCGTGTGCAGTAACATCGTACAAAACCAGTTATGAAATTGTCTACACTAGCAAAGCAACATTAGAGAACATACCTAAGGAATTATAAGAAATGTCTAATAGTGCAACTGTTTTGTGGACCTCAAGTGCATGTAAGAAAGACAATATTGATCTATCCTGTAAGACACAATCTGATACAATGACTTCATCTTCTGAAACCTAATGCAAGCTTAAAAAGATAAGCGATCCACCTCATTTGTCATAGTTGTATTAATTAATTCAAAACAAATGTAAAAGGAAACTTCAAAATATTCTTACCAAGGTACTTACCTCCAAATTATACAATTTTTTCAGCAACTTATGACTAGGTGCTTCAGTCGACTTATCACAGAAATCCATATACAACTTCATAAGGCGTTTTGGCACCCATTCTATAAAAGAAAAATCGAGCATTATCCAAACCGGAAAGCACATGCTAAGAAAGAATTAAATTATGTAGAATTGCTCCAAAAGGAACATAATGCCTCACAAATGTTCCATATTATTTTTTATATTCAATTTTTTTATTTTTGAAAGACCAACAATTCATATATCCACTGTAAAAACCCAAAAATACGAAATGTGTTTGAAGAGGTAAATGTTGTAAGAAAAATGAATTTATGTTTGAACTAGAGCACAACGGCGTTGTGTGCTGGAGTGATGCGGTGCTAGGTTTGAGAGCATAGTAGTGCTAGAAAATACAGTTGCGGTGCATGGGTCTGTGTTCTACAATAATTCTAGATTTAACATGCAGCATTGCGGTGTTGGGACTGAGCACTGTGGCGCTCCGCTACTAATTGAGTTTTTATATATATTTAAATTCTCATATCCTAAGCATTAAGCACCAAGCAACTCCCTCAGCCGAGCTCGTTGCGCAAGGAAGAGAGGGAAAGGGAGGAGAGAGAAGGTTGTTCGAGGCTTTTTCTTCTGTCTATTTTGTTCGAAAATTTCTAGTCACAGTAAGTAACACAATTCTCATTTTAGTTTTCAAAGATTTTGAGTTTGACAAATTTATTTTCTCCTAAATTGATAAAAATGTATTTTCTCCTTATTTATTGAATATTTATTATGTAACTTTTTATATATGATAGATTTGAATATTATAAACATTTTGACTATAACATTATTGAATTTTACCATATATAATAAAAATTAAGATTTTTTAAAGCTTTAGGTTGATATACAGATTTTTTTTCATTTTATATAACTGAGCATTTCATGTTGCATTTCATATATTAAAATGCATTTTGTGAAAGCAAGGAAGGCTGACTATCAACACTATAAATTAATATGAGTTGACTTTTAAAATATAATACACTGTGCAGGAGGGTGGGTTGACAGACTTTCTTTTAAAGATGATTGTGATGTTACCCCGATTGTAGCCTGTAACAGATGACCGATAATGCTGACGGACAGAGGGTGATGAATTTTAATGATAAAAGATGAAATATAATGTTAATAATATAATGATGCAGTGAATAAAAAAGAAAGGATTAAAACATCACATTAAAATTGGATGTTCTGCTTTGCTGAACTTTATACTAAATCATATATTATTGTATTCATATATTACTATCATTGACATATGTCACTGATAGATAGGATAGCATAAGAATTGATACATATAGTGATTATATAATATATAACATAGATAAGGTGGATGACATTAGCATGGACACTTGTATACTTACGATTCATCTATAGACTCACGCATGATTTCAGTATCAATGAGTTACTTTTTATTGTACAGATTTACTGTTCTACTGCTTTTATTATCCTACTGATACAGATACTAATTATTATTTCTAATTATCGATGCATTTATAGTTTCGTACAAATGTTGATGTACGGATTTAAGCGTAATGATTCCTACTTTTTATTATTAATCATATTGGATCGCACTAGTGGTGACTGATCATTGATGAGATTGAAAGTTATTAACTAGATTGACTAAACTGAGCATGCATATTGACTCTTCTTGCCTTGAGTTGAAAGCTTTGGTGAGTTTGGATTTCTGCTAGGCTTTTTAGTTGATTATGTGAATTTTAATGATTTCATATCAGGGAAGAGGTCGAGATCAGTTAAAGTGAGTGACGAAGATCCTCTGATTTCTTTTGGTTTTGTTTGTAATTTCTTTTATTCTTTTGTAGTCAGGAGTTTATGATAGAGTGTATATTGTACTGATTCCTAGCTGGTGTAAATGAAATTTTGTTGAATGAATATAATGAAATATTATGGTGTATATGATTATTAGTTGATTCCGCTTGATATATAGATTTATATTGATGATTTATAAAAGCTTTTGTTGGTAAATAATTAAAAAGATTAAAATGGACAATTCTTCCAAATATGATCTTGGGGTACCACACCCACACCCACACCCACATGATTGATCTTAAATAAAAATATAAAATATAAAATAAACTAAAATTCATTTAATTAAGCATCCATTTCATTGTTTAATCAAATGCTTACAATATTAAGTAATAAATGGCCACCACAATGTCATACAACGTTCCTTTTATATATGAGAAGTTGTCCAAAACAAATGAATTCCATAAGAATTCCAAACTATCATAACATAACATGACACTCCCTCCCTTTCTCCCTCCTTCAATATCTACATGTAGAAACATATATATATATTTTTATATATCAAAGATTAAAAAAGGAAAACCAATAACAACAATTAAATAAAGTCCCTTGACCCTCAAGTAAAGCTTGAGCCGCATAATTGAATTTACTTGTTATAATATAGAAAAGATGGCAGAATATCTACCTAATAACAACAATTAAATAAATTTGAAGAATATGTATCTTAAAATATCGAATAAAGGAAACAAATCATAAGTATTTATAAAATGGACACCAAATTTAAGATATCAGATACATGGCATAGATGCATAGATTAAATGGGGTATCAAAATATAATCTTAGTTAAGTCAAGATTAAAAAATATAGTTATAATAAAACCAATCAAACATATCACCAATGGCATATTAACTATCTCCATATATATGACAAGGATCAAGTTAATCATAATCATTATCATTATTGGTGCATATAACTTAATTGGATCCATATGTCAAGGAGTAATTAAGTTCATCATCGTCATCATCAATATCATCATAATTAGCCTTAGCCTAACTAGTTAGATGCCTAAGACCAATTTAAGGAATAAAAAAGTAAAAAAAAAAATTCAGTATACTTTAGCTTTATCAAAATAGCATAAAGGTTTAAAATTCTACTTATTAGATTTTAAAAGGTAAATGAAGTATTCGATCTCATATTTAATCAAGAGGTGTGTGAAACATGCACCTAATCCAAGTTGAGGAAAAGATGGATTTGAGAAAAAATATCAAAATGATACTTTGATTATATCTATGAGGTCATTTTAATCCAAAATTACAAATGTGATCAATTTAATCCTTTCACTCTTCATATATGATCTAAAATAATACCTCTGTAGAATTATTTTAGATTAGATTTGAAAGGTCAATGGACGTCCATTTTGGATCAGATTTGACGAGCCAAGGGAAAAATTGGGCATATTAGATGGTCTAAGGTTAAAACGGCCTCCCATAAATAACCCCAAGAATAGTTCAATTTTTTTCTCAATGGTCCCTAAACTTAATGAAGCATAAGCTCTGATTGTTGGGATCAGGCTGAGAATCACAAGCTTCAACACTAAAAGCATGAAGTTCAAATGCATCTACATATATCATACAAAGCTGGAAGAGAGTGAATATCTGATCTTTCCAAATTAACACCCTTCAAACGCATCATAAAATAAGCTTTATCCTATTTGCTTAATGGTTTTTTTACTTCAAATACCGAAGTGGAAAGAAGTTTCTTTAATTAACGAGGAGCATTTTAAGTGGCCGTAAACAGCAGAAAATCGTTTAGGTCAAACAAGTGAACTTTTTTGTTTTTCCCTTTTTGGAGTTCTGTGAGGAGAAGTGAAGATTTGAGGGAGAGCGTAACGAGTAAATATAGGAAGTACCAATATTCAAATGATTAGTTAATGTTATAAATTCTCACCATTTATAACAGCTTCAATGCAAACCTTTTGCGAAAGTAGGTTTTTCATATCTTCGGTTGTTTCCTGAGAGCGTAGATCTTTCCCACAGCAGACTAGCTGGTGAATCACAGGAACAAGGACCTAAATATTACAGTTCAATTAGTGAAATAAAATAACGTTCTTACAACACCTGAACATTGAAACAAAAAAATGATAAAACATAAGCTTGAACTCTGAATTCAAAATTTAATTATATATATGTGACGATCTAAGTTTGCATAATCCCCAATAGCTAAGTCTATAAGTTATGAGCAATAGAAAGCACTTGAAAGATCATTAAGTCCTTTGTTAGGCAAGTTTTGTTTTACAGGTTGATTTTGGGTTTTCGGGTCAACCCGACCCGATTTTAGAAATGGGTCAGAAAATGAAACCCAAGCCTGACCCATCTGGCAAGCGGGTCGACTTGAACACAAAATTTTGTAGGTCGGGTTTCGGGTCGGGTCAAATACTGACACCCATAGCTCTAGTGGTAAATAAAACTAGTGAGTGTTGCCTTAGATGGTTTGTTAACATAGAACGTTGGCCTTTTGATGGAACTTTTATTACGTCCTCTGACCGGACGTAGCTCTACGTCCGATCAGAGGATTGTTACTCGATTTTTGCTCGGTATTTGGTCGGTATTGTTAGGTATTGTTTGGTAATAACGAGGAATACCGCTCTATGAAGACCAATACCGAGTTTTTTTAGAAAAACTCGATATTTTTTGGTATTACTCTGTATTGCTCGGTATTTTGTCTTCACATAATGATATTAATTTCTCATTATTGTTGGTATTACTCGGTATTTCTCATTTTGTGCCTGCGATCTTAGTGCCAGCCGAACGTAGCTCTACGTATGTTCACCGGACCAAATAAAAGTTCCTTTTGATGACCTTGTTAGGAGAGCAGATGTATTAGATCCTGCATATATTAAGATAAGTAGTAGACATAAAAAGACTTGGTTAGAAAGTATTAAAAATGACATTTTTTTATTAAATTTAAATGAGTATTTAATTCTTAATAAGACGTAATGGAGACTACTCTTGCAAAAACTCAACCCAACGACCATGACGGGCATTGAGTTTATTTTGCAAATTAATGTATCGCAAGGCTTCATGATCCGAGAATATCATAAATTCATGTGGCAACAAGTAGTGTCTCCAATATCTAAGGGATTGAATGATCGCATAGAACTCCTTGTCGTAGGTAGAATATCGTTGACGGATATCATTTAACTTCTCGATGAAATAAGCAACGGGGTGTCCTTCTTGTGATAAAACTCCTCCAATACTTATGCCAGAAGCATCACAAGTTAATTCAAACACCTTAGAAAAATCTGGTAGATGCATTACAGGGGCCTCTATAATTTTCCTCTTAATTTCTTCAAAATCTCTAGAGGCATGTGTAGTCCAAATGAATTCTCCCTTATTGAGGCAATCAGTTATAGAGGCTACGATAGTGCTAAAACTCCTAATGAATCTCTGATAAAAGGTGGCTAATCCATGAAAACTTCGAACATCCCTAATATTCTTAGGTTCAGGCCACTCATTAATCGCACATAATTTCTCAGCCAGTTGATATTCCTTGGGATGAAATGATAAATCCGAGAAAAGTAACACTATCTGTGAGAAACATACACTTCTTAGGGTTATCATACAATTTTTCATGTCTCATGACTTCACTGACTTATTTAAGATGATTTAAATGCTGATTTGCCGAATTACTATAAATCAATATATCATCAAAATAGACGACCACAAATTTTCTTAAGAATGAGAGCAAAACTTGGGTCATAACCATAGATGTCAATGTCGCAAAAATAGCACACGTCATGGCGCACGGAGCACCTACGGCGTCATGTGTATGACGCGGCGCAAACGTTCAAAATAGCGCGAGCTATTTTCGCCACATGCGCGCCATGGCGCATGTCGCACGATGCAAAATAGTGCGCGCCATTTGTTTTAAATTTTTTTTAATGTAATTATAAATATTTTTATATTTATTTATTTATTTATTTTTAATATGATATATTTTCTAATTTTTAAATATATTAAAAGTATTAAGATAAATATTAAATTGAATATTATTATCTTCTTAATGCTATTTACTTTCATTTAAATATATTTTAATTGTATGAAGATTGACTACTTATTGGACTTGAAATTATGTAGGATTATTATTTATTTATATTGTCATTATTTTCTTGTTATTATGATAGTTTGTCTTTCAATTTAATGATATTTTATATTCATGCTTATTATTTTATAATTCTTTTATAATTTGCGCCATGTTCAAAATGGCGCGCGCGCGCCGCGCCGTGCTGTGCGCTATGCGCCATGGCTCAAATAGGACCTTTGCGCCATGGTGCGCCATTCGCCATTAACAAGTATGGTCATAACCCTTATGAATGTGCTATGAGCATTACTAAGACCAAACGGCATAATCATCCATTCATACAATCCATCTTTTGTTTTGAAGGCCGTCTTCTAATCATCACCAGGGCGGATTCTGATTTGATGATATCCGCATTTAAGATCAATTTTCAAAAATAGTGTTGCCCCAATAATCATGTCTAACATGTCGTCCAATCGAGGGATAGAAAAATAATGATAATAGTAATAATAGTAATAATAATAATAATAGTAGTAATAATAATAATAATAATAATAATAATAATAATAATAATAATAATAATAATAATAATAATAATAATAATAATAATAATAATAATAATAATAATAATAATAATAATAATAATAATAATAATAATAATAATAATGACAATAAAATTTAAAATAGTAACATTAGCAGTAATAATTTACAATAGTAATAATCTTTGAAAATACTTTTTATATTTAAATAGACATAATAATAATAATAATAATAATAACTTAAGGTATTCAAAACAATCATAGTAATAATAACAATAGTAAACTAACATTTATAATAATAATATAATAATAATAATTAAAATAAAATAATAATAAAAAAGGGACTTTTACTATTTTTAAAATAATTAAATAAATATAAATTATTTTTAACTGAAATTAATTTTAAAATGAGGAGGATGAAAAACCGAGCGATTTGATATATTATACGTAATTTTTGGGTAAAAATACAATTTGTTATGAATTTTCTAAGTAAAATAGTTTTAATTTTTTTTTTTAAAATAAACTCTCGGATAAATCCTCGTCGCGACAAGTGGCAGAACCGGAATGGTTTGCGGTCAGCGCCATTCATTGGTGCCACCGCCAATGATTGCCGCAATCAGTGCTACTTATCCATGTGGGACGGCCTCCGCGCCGCAATCAGTGCTACTTATCCCGAACGGACGGCTATGATCGAGCCGAACGGCTCAATCCAGCAATCGAGCGAACACGGGCGGATCTGAGGGCTTATACAACGCGATTGAAACCGTTAATCGCGGATTCAACGGTCCTAAATCTGATCTTCACACGCGTGAGACCGGACCGAAACCCTAAGGGGTATTTTGCTTCGTTCTCCCCAAATACTCAACCAAACGCGATGAAATTTGAAACATAGGCTCTATACATGAAGAGCATTCATGGGGGATGTTTGGTTTGATATAGAAAGCACTTATTGAGAAGCTATTTAACCCTATGTGTTCTAGACTAGGGTTTGAGTTTTTACCTAATCCACACGGTGGATTCAGGAGATCTTGGGCTTGTTGCACTTGTAGACTGTTATTGTACAATTCCTTAGTTGATTTCGAGCTCAAATTCATCCTCGATCAACGAGAAATCATCTTGGAAGCGTCCTAGCCTCAGCTCGCCGGAGATCTCGCCGCCGGCAAGGCTTTGACGTTGGGATTTGGTCGGGGAAGGTAGAGAGAAGGTCTATGAGCTTTCTCATAAAATTTGAGCCATTTTTGTCGTCTCTAGCAAGAGTAAGAGCAAAAAGATCTTTAAGAAACCCTAAAATCTCCTATTTAAAGCCTTAGACTCTAAGGGAGCGGTCTAGATCGCATCAAGGCTTGATTAGGAGGGAAATTAGGCTCAAGACCACGGGAATTTGAATTTAGAATGCTTTTGGAATTAATTTCATGCATTAAAGGCCTTTAATTGGACTTAAATAGGTTAAATTGACCTATTCAAGACTTGGGTTGACCTAGTCAAGGCTTGACTTGGTTAACTCAGTCAGATAAGTCAAAGGGGTGGAGATTTTGAGTCCAAGGAAGATTTGAATTGATTTGAAATTGATTTAGACCAATTATGGCTGAATGGGTCAACCCGGGTTGACCTGGTCAACCGGATTGACCCAAGAACTAGGTCGAGACAAAACCAAGGTCAACAAATGGACCCCCAACAGGAGCGACGAACAACTAGTGAACCGCTCGTGTTGGCATTGACCAACTATGCCAAAAGGGGTAAAGAGTACAAGTGATAGAGTACCGACAAAGGTGGAAAAAGGTAGAAAATCCTTCTCCTGGCCTTACCCTAAAGCAAGAGCAGAGCTTGGGAGAGAGTGAAAAGCAGCAGTGCACAAGTAAGATGTCACCAAAATGGTGAACAAGTAGTGGGATCTTCTTCCGGCCTTACCCTACAACAAGGGTAGAACTCAGGAAAGACCCGAAGTAGAAATCACCACAAGGGCGAAAAGAGGTAAAGGATCTCTCCCTTAGCCTTACCCGGTGGTGAGGGCAGAACTGAAGAGAGAACTGAAAGTAAAGGTCACCACAAGGGTGAAAAAGTAAGGCTCTCTCTGCCTTACCCTATAGCGAGGGTAGAGCCGAAGAGAGAATTAAGAGTAAAGTAGTAAAAGTAGACCGACTATCTTGGGAATCCAACGAACTCACAAAGAGATCAATAACAAGAGAATTTCATTTCAACAATAATAATCCAAAATGCAATGACTATGCCTCCATATATAGGCCTTCTAAAACAAAATAATAAAGACGAAATTTCCCTCGGGCTATAACATACAACGACTTCCTCATAGGGGTACAAATGAAAAAAATATAAAATATAAATAACATGAATAAAATAAAACATCAGAAATAAAGACTATGAATCATAGTCGTCGCTCGATGACTCCTCCGATGGTAGGTGTGTCGAAATCTCCTACGAATGTCCT